GCCTGTAATTCCGGCTACTCGGAAGGCTGAGGCAGAGGGATCGCCAGAGCCCAGCAGGTCGAGGCTGTGACGGCCGGGAGCGGCCACTGCACTCCAGTCTGGGCGACAGAGTGAGACTCCAACTCAAAAAAAAAAAATTACAAGCAATACAAAGATAAAAAAATTTCCTCTCCCAGTACACGAATCTCAAGCATCAGAAATAACCAGGTGTGATCTGATGGCCTGGCATGTACTGGGATTGTTCCTAATGCCTTCTCCTCGTCCTGTTTATCGGTTGATCCCAAAGTTCAGAAGATTCTGCTTTTTGAATGTCCCTGGAGTCCATCCCCCACTACTGTCATCTCTTTCCATTAACTGGTCCCCTCATTTCCAGTCTCGTCTTTTTTTTTTTTTTTGAGTCGGAGTCCCACTCCATTGCCCAGGCTGGGGTGCAGTGGCACGTATGCTCACGGCCACCCAGCATCCACCTGCTGGGCTTAGGCGATCCTTCCACCTCAGTCTTCTGAGTAGCCAGAACTATAGGCATGTGCTACCACACCCGGCTAATTTTTTTATTTTTTATTGTAGAGATGAGGTCATGTCAAGTTGCCCAGGCAGCTCTCGAACCCATGGGCTCAGGTAATTCCCTCACCTCAGCCTCCCAAAGTGCTGGGATGACAGGCTTAAACCACCGTGCCTGGCCTGGTCTTGTCTCTTTTTAATGTTTTCTTTTCTTTTTTTTTTTTTTGAATTGGAGTCTCACTCTGTCACCCAGACTGGAGTGCAGCGGCAGCTTCCGGCCACCACAGCCTTGACCCGCTGGGCTCCGGCGATCCTTCCGCCTCAGCCTTCCGAGTAGCCGGAATTACAGGCATGCGCTACCACGCCCGGCTGATTTTTTGATTTATTGTAGAGATGAGGTCTTGCTGCCCAGGCAGGTCTCGAACCCGCGGGCTCAGGCAATCCCCTCACCTCAGCCTCCCAAAGGCGCGGGATTACAGGCTGAGCCACCGAGCCTGGCTCTTTTCTTTTTGAGTTGGAGTCTCACTCTGTCACCCAGACTGGAGCTCACGGCCACCCAGACTCAAGCTGCTGGACTCAGGCGATCCTTCAGCCTCAGCCTTCCAAGTAGCTGGAACTACAGACGCGCGCTACTAGGCCTGGCTATTTAATGTTTTCCACGCTGCCACCAATTCATTCTAAAATTGATGATTCTTCTGAGATACTATTCTGGTCATGATGTCACGGTCATTTAAAGGCCCTTGGGGACTCCCTATTGCCAACAGGATCCGTGGCTGATATGACCTTCCATAATGGTGCCTCTCTTTCTGTTGTATCTCCTCCTGCCCCATAACGCCCTGTGCTCATTCATACCAAAGTCCTTGTAAAGAACATGCCATGTTCCACCACAACACTGTGCCTCTGACATGTTACTTCCGCTGCTGGAGCAACCTTTCCCACTGAGACCGCCTGGAAAGCACCTATTCATCATCTTTTCATCCGTGCCTGTTTAATCTGAGGCCACGTAAAAGAGTAACTAGTAGGGCTGGGCACAGTGGCTCACATCTGTAATTCCAGCACTTTGGGAGGCCGAGGCAGGAGAATCACTTAAGCCCAAGAGTTCAAGAACAGACTGGGCAACATAGCGAGAGCCCATCTCTACAAACATAAAAAACTTAGCTGGGCATAGTGGTGCACACTTATAGTCCCAGCTATTTGGGAGGCTGAGGTAGGAGGATCACCTGAGCCCAGGAGGTTGCGGTGAGCCGTGATTGTGCCTGAGTGACAGAGTAAGAACCCCCAACTCAAAAAAAAAAAAAAAAAAGAGTAACTATTGGAAACTGTGGTAGGCACTGTGTCAGCCCTAAAGATCTCGGCTTCCTTGGTGTCCCTTGGCATCCAAGGGGATTGGTTTCAAGACTACCACCCTTCAGATACCAAAATCCACAAATGCCCAAATCGCTAATATAAAATGGTATAGTCTCACATGTAACCTACACACATCCTCCTGTAAATTTATTATTTTTATTATTTATTTATTTATTTTGAGTTGGAATCTCACTCTGTCGCCCAGATTGGAGTGCAGTGGCCGCTCCTGGTCACCGCAGCCTCGACCTGCTGGGCTCCGGTGATCCTTCCGCCTAGGCCTTCCAAGTAGCTGGAACTACAGGCGCACGCTACCACACCCAGCTGACTTTTTGTTTTATTGTAGAGATGAGGTCTCGCCAAGTTGCCCAGGCAGGTCTCAGACCCGCAGGCTCAGGTAATCCACTTACCTCAGCTTCCCAAGGCACAGGATTACAGGCTGAGCCACCGAGCCCGGCTCTCCTGTAAACTTTAAATCATCTCTACGCTGGGTGTGGTGGCTCATGCCTGTAGTACCAGCTGGAAGGCTGAGGCAGGAGAATCACTTGAGTCCAGGAGTTTGAGACCAGCCTAGGTAACACAGCGAGACCTCGTCTCTACCAAAAAATCAAAAAATTAGCTGGGCATGGTGGCATGAGCCTATAGCCCCAGCTACTTGGGAGATTGAGGCAGAAGAATCACTTGAGCCCACATGGTGGAGGCTACAGCAAGCTGTGATCATGCTACTGCACTCCAACCTAGGGGACAGAGTAAGACCCTGACTCAAAAAAAAAATCTCTAGATTACTTATAATACCTAGTACAATGTAAATTCTGTCTAAATAGTTGTTGTACTGTATTGCTTTTTATTTGTATTATTATTACTATTTTTTTAGTTGGAGTCTCACTCCGTCGCCCAGGCTGGAGTGCAGTGGCACATTCACGGCTACCCCAATGTTGACCTGCTGGGCTCCAGCGATCCTTCCGCCTCAGCCTTCCAAGTAGCTGGAACTACAGGCATGTGCTACCATGCCCGGCTAATTTTTGATTTATTGTAGAGACAAGGTCTCGCCAAGTTGCCCGGGTGGGTCTCGAACCTGCGAGCTGAGGCAATCCACTTGCCTTGGCCTCCCAAAGTGCTGGGATTACAGGCTGAGCCACTGAGCCTGGTGTGTGTTATTTTTTATTGCTGCTATTTTTTTCAAATATTTTCAATCCTCAGTTGGTTGAGTCCACAAATACAGAGTCTGCAGGTACAAAGGCCACTATAAACACATCCTTGTGAAGTTCCCGCCCCTTGACTGCGGGCTGGGTTCACTGAGTCACTTCCAGCAAACAGAACATAGCAGAGGCGATGGGGTGTCACTTCTGAGATTAGGTAGCAAAAAGACTGTGGTTTCTGTCTTGGACACCACCTCTCACACTTACTCTCTTGTTCTCTCACGCTGAGGGAAGCCACCTGCCATGTTTAGAGCTGCCCTCCAGAAAGGTCCACGTGCCAAGGGAAGGAGGGCGGCTGTGGCCGGAAGTCGGCAGGTGGACTGCCACATGAGGGGCTTGAGCCAGGGGCACACACTTAAGCCATGCCCGCGTTTCTGACCCACAGAAACCAGTGCATGATGAATGCTGCTTTAAGCTGCTGAGTTTGGGATGCTCTGTGATGCAGCGGTAGACAGCTACCACGGGCTGCTTCCGCCCAGTCTATCCAAGAAGACCTGAAATCCACCCTATTTATTCCAGCAATTGTTGCTTTGGTTTATTCACTTGTTGAACAATATTTGCTTCTTGAACTTCTGACACTAATTACTACAACTTATTACTCCTCTTTTGAACTTGTTGAGACCTCTCAAGTTTGAACATTGATTGTACTGTTATATAAAGTTGCTTCGGTTCTGATCAGAGCCCTTAGTGCCAAGGATGAGAAAGATGGAGAAAGCAGCAGAGCCTGTACCTGCTTGGAGGCAGAAGCTTCTCTTCTATGAGGTCATCATGGTTCCCTTCAGTCTTGTTGTTCAGCTCGGAAACTGCATGAACTGTCTCTGCCAGACCTGTGACAGGAAGAACTTACAGTGACAGAAAGAACTCATGGTGGACAACAATGAACCCACACAAGCCCACGTTTCTATTTTACTCAGAGAGTCACTCAATCTAGTAGGCCCCAAACTTAGATACATCCAGCTGGTCTCACTCTTTCTTTCTTTTTTTTTTTTTAATTGTAGAGACAAGGTCTCGCCAAGTTGCCTGGGCTGGTCTCAAACCCACGGGCTCAGGCAATCCACTTACCTCTGCCTCCCAAAGCACTGGGATTATAGGCTGAGCCACCGAGCCTGGCCTACCCACTCACTCTTTCTAGTCATTCGTGTTTCTGGAACTCTATGCCCCAAGACAACATGGGAAACTCTTGAGCAGTCTCACATGAGGAGAAAGGAAGACAAGAGCCAGCTTATTAAAAAAAAACAAAGTGAAACTGATTGTGGCTTTTCTCTTAAAAAGTAAAATCATAATCAGAGCAGCAAAGATACCATAATTTGTAACTTACAAAAGAAATATCTATCTAAGGATGAAGAGTCCCCTCTCCTTTTCCTGCCTCTGACGCGACACACACTGAAAGCTAAATCCTCAGTGCCGAAAACACTGATATTACTGAATAGTGCCAAAGCCCTTAGGTTTTCTAAAGCAGTTCCCAGATTTTAGGATTTCACAGGTTAATACAATTTCCAAAAAGATTTTAAGCAACTGACAACCTGGCAACTTTTTGTTTTACCTCGTATGGACAGTGAAACAAGCAAGTAAAAATCCACTCTGCCACCACCAAAATCATTATTTCATAAAATAAAACACAGTATAGCCTCCAAAAAGGCAGAAAGGAAATAATGTTACAATAAAGAGCAGTCCCTTAAATTGAATCCATTAAGGTTTTAGGAAAATTCATTACAATAACTTTATAATTTCATTTCACTGAATATTGCCAAGAATTTTGTCACGGGCCAGCCCTGGCATTTGGCAACCACTGTTGTAAGTTCTTAGTACAGACCTACAGTACTTGTAATGATTAACTGGCATATGTTTTTAAAAATACGCACAATACATATTTCCTCACTTTCTTTCAATAAAGCCTCATAATTTATTCACAGGAAATTATGTGGCCCCAAGGTTTAGAGGGCATATAGATGAACTAAGCTTGGCCACGAGTTGATCATCGTTGATGCTAGGTGATGGAGAAATGAGGGTTCAATATGTTAATTGCTCTATCTTTGTAAATGTGTAAGTTTTCTGTAGTAAAAAAATGTCTTAGCCAGGCTCGGTGGCTCAGCCTGTAATCCCGTGCTTTGGGAG